GTCTTAAAATAAAATACTTTGTATAGATATATAAACTTAAATCTGAAACAAGTAAGAAAGTTGCAGTCAAGACCGCTCGACTACGAGATCCCCTGAAACCTTCGAGCAATAGTTATTTCAATCATTTTTCCCGTCTTTCTGCTTATACAAGACACACACACACACACACCCACACACACAAACACACACATACACGCACACAAGCACGCCTAAACACGCATGGGCTGCAGTGTGCGCTTACTATGATAACTTAATTGTTTAATAACTTTTTCTGTGGATGTACTTTCTTCATGAAACTTTCAGATTATGATTATAAAACATGGATATGCATGCATTTACCAAAGCAAAAGTCTCTAGTATTTTAAATTCGCCTTTTACAAATATGTGGGTGTGGGGGTGAATATAGAGGTGGGGGGTAAATTTTGACAAAACCCGAAATTGTATAAAATACATATTAGTATATATATAGAATGCTTTAAAGGTGTAAAGATGCTAGCATTAATGAAGTGGGAGATACCATTTTATAACTGATTTTCGATAAAGTTTTTTATCGATAAAAATAACGGGGCGAGTTATCGATTTTGCTGATAAACTCGATATCCGCGTTGTATGTATATACGGACATTTAAAAAAGAAATTTTTTACATTCAAACATACGGACAGACAGACAAATAGTCAGGATCAAATCGACTCAGTTCGTCGCCCTGATCAAGAATATATATACTTTGTGGGGTCTGCCACGCCTCCTTCTGCCCGTTACATACTTTTTCACAAATAAATAATAAATCCACACATTTCACTCCTATATTAAAATTGATTCGATTCGCACAATTTTTATACCCTGAACCCATGGAAAATGGGAAATCAGGGTATAATGGTTTTGTATTTGAAATGCATTTTTTACAAATTAGGGGAGAAGAGGGTATCCAAAATCTATAAATTACAAAATCTTTGTATCGATTAACTTTATATACAACGCATTTCAAGAACTAGAGACTTGTGCTTTGGAATGTACACACATATTCACCATATAATTACACTCTGAAAGTTTCATTAAGATCGTATGTCTACAAAAGAAATTATTAAACAAATAAATTCTCATAATATTGCCCACACTGCAGCGCAGCCCAAGCGCAGCCGCTGCTTACTGCGCCGTCAACAGAGCGCGTTGTTATACGTGCGTCTGGATGCATGTGTATGTATGTGTTCATAGAAGAAGTGCAGAATGATTAGAATATCAGCTTGGAGGGCTCAGGGTATCTCCTAGTCGAGCAGTCTCGACTAGAGCCTTCTTACTTGTTTTTTTTGTGGGGTTTTATGCATTTAATTTTTTAGCCGTAATAAATTATATTCTTAAAGATTGTATACTACATCAGACTTTTCATGAGCCGCAATGAATTTGTTCCATGTTTACTTTATTCAAGTTCAGAAAAAAGTAATTCAAACTGTTTTTTTTATACCCTGAACCCATTGAAAATGGGATATCCGGGTATTGTGGTTTTGTTAAATGTATGTAAGAGGATTTTTTCCCGTGTATACCACGCGCATATCGAGTTTTTCTTAAAAATCGATAACTTGTCCTGTTATTTTGTTATCAATTTAAAGCATTATCGAAAATCAGTAATAAATGTATATCTGTTACATCTTTAGAGCTAGAGTGGCCAAATGGGGACTCATATGTACTTTATAGAATTTCGATTTTTGCTAAAATTTACCCCTGACCCCTATGTCCACACCCTCACCATCACCTTTGTAAAATACTAGAGACTTGTGCTTTGGCAAATGCACGCATTTCAATGGTATAATCCTGATATAAAAGTTTCATTAAGTTCCCGTTATAAGCTCACACTGCAGACAATACGTGTTTATGCGTGCGTGCGTATGCCCGAATAATTATTGAAATATTAGATGCTCGAAGGGTTTAAGGGATCTCTTAGTCGAGCAGTGTCCACTAGAGCTTTCTTACTTGTTTTTAATTATTTTATTTATCATATATTTCCGAATACATTATATACATTATTATATTTAGTAACATATAGTAATACTCACTTGCGAAAAAAAGAAAAACTATCACGAGTGCTTATATCATATATATTTAATCTAAATTATCAGAGTTAAATAGGCGTTATATTTTCTAGTTCCGCAGTGCTATAATCATGTAAAAGCTGATAGATTCAATTCAGATATAAAAGCCGCTAGAGTTAAATGCAGCTTAAGCAAAGTTTTAGTAGCCGGCGAGCAATGCAGAGACTAATTTTCACCTTCGCTTGTATGTCCACACTCAGCTGGGCACTGCCATTGGAATCCCAGGAAGGATGGTCCTTTGCAGATTCAACGGAATCGGAAACGGATGAAATAGACTTGAGCGCCTATGGTAGTCAGATTTATGGGGTGCCTGATCCGCTAACAGGTGATAGGGTAGCCAACTTAAGTGTTGACAGCAATGTAAATCCTGAGGAGCTGGGAAGCTACCTTGAGGGTGATATTCTAGAGCCTCTACCTCCCATCAATACGTTAAATGGCTCACCTAACAGATCCCGTCGTTGGCCAAAGGGTGTGGTGCCCTTTGTGATCGAGCGCGGTTTCAGTAAAAAGGAATTGTCTTTTATCAAAGCTGCCATGAACGAGTACCGCAGACACACTTGCATCAGATTTGTGCCACGTAAAGGACAGAAGGACTATATTTCCATTGGGAGCAGTCACACAGGCTGTTGGTCTAGCCTCGGTCGTCGTGGTGGAAAGCAGGTATTGAATCTACAGTCACCTGCATGTCTGCGCCGCATTGGAACTGCGGTGCATGAGATGATGCATGCTATTGGATTTTTTCATGAGCACGTACGCGAGGAGCGAGACAGCTATGTAACGATTTATTTCAAAAATATAATTTCTGAAAAAACTCACAACTTTAATAAGGTACAAAAGAGCGTGAATTTCGGAGTGTCCTACGATTACGACAGCGTTATGCACTACTCAACTACAGCCTTTTCACGGAATAATAAAAAAACTATAGCGGCAAAGGTGAGTTGGACGTAGAAGAATATAGACTAATGACAATAAGAATATATATAAATAAGGTGCTAATATGATCAAAAATAATTTAATTCGCTCATTTCACAATCTTTAATTTCTAGAATGCGAAGGATAACCATCGATTGGGACAACGTGGGGGATTTTCTCCTAAGGACTTAAAGAAAATTAACAGCATGTACAAATGCAAATGGTCGACAGCTTCGCCTGATAATGAAGTTTCACTTTCCACACCTGAGCCAGAAAGCTCAACGGCAACAACGGTCAGCTCCAGTCTGGACCCTGATAATTTATTAATCTAGATTATTATTTAATCTAAGATACATATATTATTTTATGGGACACGTAAACTTATTTCCATAAATAAATGAATAAATAAACATCCTGGAGAGCGCAATGCGACACTGGCCGAAGCTTTGCAGGCGTTGTTGCAAAAGAAGGTTTCTTTTCAAATGGGCCAGCGCAACGGATTCATAGATTCCGATGTGGAGAAGCTGAATCACATGTACGACTTTGGGTATGTGCATCAGTGCCAGCGCACAGTGCGGGCACTGCAGCACCAGTGGCAGCTCCCGGTAGCATTTCCCATCGTTGATAGTTTCCTCGGCGGCCTCATCAGCGGGTTAATCCTTGGAGACAGCCATGAAAAGGCCTCGGAAACCAGCCAGCTGCTGGCTGGCCAAAGATTTCACTCGCTTCAAACCATCACCAACTACGACCAACTATTTAAAGCATTCCACATACAGCCTTAGCCTAGAATTATTTATCAAGAATTTCTGCCTGATAAAAGTATTTAAGTAATACATTAATAACAAGGAAGACGGTTCTAGTCGAGAGTGCTCGACTACGAGATTCCCTGAACCCTCCAAGCTGATATATTAATGATTGGGATTTTCACACAGTAAATCCGAATAGTATTCAAATGAGGCTGAAAAAAAAAATACATTTCTCGATTATCCTCGATAAAAATATATCGAATGAGTTATCGAATTATTGTACTGCGTATGGTATACACGAATCTACATGCAAAATTTCCGCTCTGTAGCTCTTGTATCTTCTGAGATCGACGCACTCATACGGACGGACGGATGGACAGACAGACAAGGCTATATCGACTCAGCTCGTCGCCCTGATCAAGAATATATACACTTTATGGGGTATAACCCATTTTCAATGGGTTCAGGGTATAATAATAAAAACTATATAGTAAAACTTAATATTTTACTAAAATTTCAATTCAAATTAAATGCAAATCTAGATTCATTACTGCTACTTCAAGACAGACAGAAGATGAAGATTATTATACTTAAAGTTCTCAGAGGCTTCAGACCAAGCCAAAGTACAAAATAATTTTTCTCTGGCTGGAATCATCTTTCAACCCAATTATTTGCGCACTTTTAATGGATTTGAGCGTATTAAAATGCAAACTCAATGCTAAAGCTTAAGGCTTCCTGCTTTTTCAGCAAACAGCAGCAACAGCAAAAGCAACAACATCACAGATACAGTTTTTTTTTTTTTTTTTTTTTTTTTTTTTTTTTTCAGATAGAGATTCAAGTCAAGAGGCATAGTAATCTGTCTACGTGTTACAGATACAGAAAAAGCTGAGACAAGTCATTCAATCGAACGCTCTATAAGATAGATATAATGAATGCAACAAGTATCACTGTTGCTGTCGCTATGTGTTGCCATCTCTGTCTCTTGCGCTCGCTCTCTTCCTCTCCCTCTCGCACTCGCTGTTGCTCGCTGTGCGCCTGCATTTGATTTCATAAATAAATTTTTGCAAAATATCAAGGCCGGAGTGCAGCTTGAAACTTGTAGCTATATATCGTATATAACATATATATATATATATACATGCATATAGACAAAAACAAAAATAATCACAAAAAAAAATGTAATCAAAATGGCAGCGACGACGACGCAATTTATTGGCTTCAAAGGTACGCGATAGAACAGAATTAAGTGGCTGCTAGAGCAAACGAGTTAGTGCACAAATATCAGTTAATATAGATATATGTATATATCTATCTATATAGGCAATATATATATATAGATATATATTAGATGCCCGCTAGATACTGGGCACAAAGTGCATTTCGGCCAACTCGTTGTTGCAATTCAATTTTCAATTCAAACTCAAGGTCTGAGCCAAAAAATAATTTGAGTTTATTTTGTTGTTGCAATTTTGTGTTTTGTTAATTATACGAGTTGGAATCGTGGCCAATGTTAAACCTTGAAATCGTTGTTGTTGGAATTGCAAAAATTTTGCATTGTTCCAATTGGCTGCTCAATATACGAGTTAAGTTTTTTGTTATTCTAAATACACAATTTGCATTTAATTTATATGTAGACATTGCTGCTGTTGTTGTTGTTGTTGTTGTTGCTGCTGCTGCTGCTGCTTTTATTGCTGTTGTCGATTTTTCTACTATTCCACAATTTATCATGCATTCAATTATTTCAATAGCTGCATTAATAGAATTAGTGGCAAAAGGCGGAAATCATCGATTACATTTTATTTAATCCCATACAGTTCTCATAATTTTTTGTTCTATTATATATTTTTTATTAATTATGTTTGTTGCTCTTCTTGTTTTTGTTTTTGTTTTWTTCTCGCTCACTTTCTAGAAATTTGTTTATAAATTATTCGACCTTCAGTTGTCTTCACATTTTCGCACATAGTAATATTTAATTTATTATTATTATTTTTTTGTTCGTATAATTATATGATAGGCGATTAGGTTAACGCCGCTAATTGGATTTTATGTGTTTCGGTTAGCTAATGAAGGCAATAAATGAAATGTTTTCAAACATGCCAATTAGCTAAGTGTGGAAAATCAACGTGGAAGAAGTTAGACAAGTAGAATATGAATTTCATTGAAGAGTTTGGGGAAATTTAATATCAGGAAAGATTGAGAAAGCTTAAAGAGCAGCTCTAGCTAAGCGATTAACATTTTTATTAGCTGGAAACGCCAACCCAACCAAAATTAATAAACTCATTCTAAAAATGACATTGCTTTTAATTTTATTTATTAAACTCAAATCACATTCAATTTTCGCTTGAATAGAGTTTCATAAACTTGATCAGCATTATTTTCATATAGTATTTTTCCAAACCAAACAATTGGCATCTACATGTTGATTAAACTAACTTTTTAACCGCAATTCGCATTGACGAACATTAACGACTTGTAATAATCTAATATGACGCATAAGAAACAAATTTGATGGAGCAACATGCAACAGCAACAGCAGCAGCGAAATTATTTAGAATTTCTTTAGTTCATTTTTCTTTTTCATATAAATTAGTCATACTCATATATATATTTATATATTGATCAATATGTATATATAAGTGCATGTACTAAAATCATATTGAAATATTTATGATGATTCATGTGGCGTTTATAGATTATAATATTATATGTGGAATTTAATTTTACATTTTACTTCCTGGTTTTTTACTTAGTTTTGTATTTTAAGTACTGTAGGGTTAATCTAATGGGCAGCAGGTGACGTGGCAGAGCGGATAAATTATATACAACAGAAGTAAAAGACTTCTAGGCAATGTTTGCTCGATTATCTGCCCAATAATGTATCTGTCCGTCCGTTCGTCCATCCTTTCATACAGATGTCCATCCATCGGACACTCCGTACGGTCCTCTGTCTGTCCGTAAACTCAACCGTCTTTCCCTCTCTCACTTTCTCTCATCCGTCCGCCCATTCGTCTGTTCCTTTGTCCAATCGTCCGTCAGTTCTTCCATCAGTGCAGCCATTCGTCCATCAATCCGCCGGTCCGTTAGTCTAGCATTCGGTTTGTCTATCCGTCTGTCTATCCGTTCGCACATTATCCATCCGTCCATCTGTTCTATCCATTCTCCCACTCTATCCATACGTCTATCCGTACATCTGCCTGTTCGTCCTCACATCTGAAACTCCGCACGTCTTCCGATCCAGCTGCCTAGTAACAGACTTGAAACAAAGAACTTAATAAATATATATGGAAATATAGTTGCGACTTGGCTTTGACAGCTGAAACAGTTAATACTTCCGTTGCAGCAATGGCCCTCGACTTGATGAACTCTTCCGTTTTGCAACCAAAAACAGGAACGAAACGCGAAACGCGGCATTTGGCCCTGCGGCGCCAACGATAAAAGATCATTGCCCATTAGTAGTTGTTGCGCACGACTTGTAGCAACAGCAACAACAACAACAGCAACTGCAACAGCAACAACAACAATGACAAATCTCACCTGTTGCAACATGCAACATGAGCACGCGCCAACAGGCAACACCAACACAATGACAGGAAGATCGAAAACGAAACCAAAGCTTGGCCAACTAACTGGCCAGCCAGGCCGCTAGCCGCTAGCCCGCCTGGCTGGTTGGTTGGTTGGTTGGCTGGCTCAGTTACAGTAACACACATTCGACTTTAGTTTGTTGTTGTTGTTGTTGTTGTTGTTGCCATTGTATGCAACGAAGCGCATTTCCATTTCTAACGTTGATCTGCGATCTGCAACAGCCACGACAAACACGACCACAGCCAAAGCTGAGCTGTTGCTGCTGCTGTTTGTTGATGTTGTTGTTGTTGTTGTTGTTGGCTTGCCTGAATGGGCGACTGGTTGACTAGCCTAGCCTAGCTGACTGTAAGTAAGGTCGCCATTTGCAGTGGCGGTCGATCGCGGCTCGTTCATGGCCCAGCTCACCTACAAACCGACAACCAAAAAGACAAGTTTAGACGTTGTTGTTGCCGTTGCAGTCGTTGTTGTTGTTGTTTGTGCCATTGGACTTGCTCTTGGCTTTGAGTTTTATTGGTTGTTTGGCCATTGGCTGATTTATTGTGCATACTCACATGCCAGCCCATTGCAGTTTTTCCATTTCGCTCTTGACCCTAATGCCAGCTGACTAGCTAAATACTAAATTTAACTCAGCTGTAATTGAGTCTTGCTCATGGCAATGGAGGTGGCCAAAAATTTAATTTCCTGGCAGTTAAATGAAGCCAACACACACACCGACACAGAGAGATACCCAGCAAGGATGTTGCTCTGAGGCAGTTGAGCTGAGTTGGGCTGAGGCTGAGGCTGAAGTTGAACTGGCATTCAAGGAAACTAAATGTGCCATGTCGAAATGTGTTGTCTGTTTTTGTTGAAGCACTATCGAGGCAAACGGCATTGTCTATCTGTTGCTCTCACTGCACAAAACTGTTGCATGCAACWGGAGCAGGAGCAGCAGCAGCAGCAGTTAGCAGTTAGCAGACAACGATTCCATTTGCTGCTGGCACATGGCACATTTTCGACATGTTTTGTGTGCATTTTGGCAA